AAAGGACAAGAGATTTAAATTTGACAGACTCAGAATTGATGTCTACCTGCTTAGTCTACAAATCTTATAGCTGGCACGTTCTGATTCCTATTTAAAATAGGAATTTTATGATTTGTATTTATATTTATTATATTTTTTTATATGTATATATAATAAATTTTTATTCTTTTATTTATATGTAATAAAATAAATAATTATAATTAATAATTAATTTTATAATTATTATATATTATATATAATATTATATTATAATTATGTATTATAATATATATAATTATATATAATATTATATTATATTATATATTATTTTATAATTATAATTAATTTTATAATTATAAAATAATAATTATATGTAATTGATGTGAGAACCACATCAATTCATAAATCTCAGAATAAGGTATTTACAAAGTAGCATGCTGAGTTGATAGTGGGAAACAAGCTTAAAAAAAAAAACTCAAACATACAAGTCAAAAAGAACATCAAGGTGACCCAAGTACAACTGAATTTTTAATATTAAGACATTTTAATATTGAAATTTTAATATTGAAGTTTTAATATTAAAAATTTTAAGCAGTTAATATTAACAGCTTAAAAAATAACTGCAGTCATTAATTTAAAAACCATAAAACCACCTTTGCTTATAAATACAAGAATAGATCATTTGAAGTGGCTAACAGCCTTTTAAGGCTGCTTCTTTCAAAATGCACTGTATCAGGAAGATGTAAGGTTCCTATAAAATGCTGGAACACAGCATTAGAGGAGCAGCTTTTCTAAGAGGCTGTAAAAATACCTTTTAACCTAAATGCCTTGCTGAGCACATCAGTCAACTAAAGAGCAGCAAGAGAATGAGGTGACCAAAAACAAAGGACACTTCTGGGCTCTGGTTTCAGCACCTCTTACCTTACTTAGCTGTTTATTCCAATTTCCCTGAAATGTTTTCTCCTTCAGCACAGCCCCAAGCTTTTATAAATCCCTTTAATGATTTATATTTATAAACACCTTTAATGAAAGCTTCATTCTTGCTGCTGCTGCTCTTACTCGCTTTCCCACATTGCTTTTTTTGCACAGCTGGGTCCTTAAATTCAGGGTTAAATTAAGAATTCTTCTGGTTCACTCTGGAGTTAAAATAGGCAAAAGGACACCTCCAGGAGAACTCCTACGAGGAAGGCATGCAACACTAAATTATCACCAAAAATGAAGGTATGAGATACAAATTTAACAAGTGATTACGCCAAAGCACAATCACAAAATTCCTCCTTCCTTTTGGAGGAGTGGATGGCACCTTGAAGGTTGGAATTCCTTGATAAATTGGATGAAGCTCTACATTAAAATAAGAATTAAAAAAAAACACAGACTGAGAAGATTCTTCCTGAGCACCAGGCACTCCAAAGCTGTGCTGCTCTAGGGATTGCTCTATCCAAATTCTCTGATTTTATGCTGGGAATGCAGATCCACTCCTGAGTACAATTCTGAGGAAAGTGAGACTGGAATCTCCACTGCAGGAAAAGCAAAGCTGGAAGAAGATGGCCCACGATGAAAATATGAAAATTTGAATGAAGAACAGGTAGAGTGTGTGTGGAATTGGAGGGAGAATAAAGGAAACTTCAGGCTGCCTTCCTCAGAAAGTATCAAGAAGATTCTTAATTTAGGAAGACAATTTCATAAGGGAGCAATTTAACCACCATTAGTGAAGATTCAGTTTGGATATTAGCAAAAAGATCTACAAAGCTGAAATTTCCTATTAAATATAATATATTCAAGTGTTTAAACTTGGAGAGATGAATTTGTTCTTCTCGTTGAACACTTCAGAACAGATTGACAAAACATCCACCAAAAAAAATTTCTGGGAATATTTCTCCTAACTCAGAGAACAAGGAGGATAGATGAGATGAGGTTCAGCGCTACATTTCTAATATTCTGCATTATTTATCAGACAGAATCCATAGGGTTGCACACATATGTTGATTGAAATGGCCTGCACAGACACTTTTCTGTAGTCAGTCAGTGGTGATTGCTGCCCTGGGCTTTCATTTGCCTCAGGAGCAATTTGCAGAGTGTTGCTAAACATGGCAAAAAGGAACGATCAGCGCTCTGCACGACCAGAGCTGGGAATGGTTTGTGTAAAGAGGCCAATGGGACAGATTCCCAAAGCTTTCAGAGGGCCTCACTGAGCTCTACAATTACCACTGGCATAAGGAACAGCCCTATTGCTACATCCCCAAATTTCTACGGCTGACTTTGGCACCTTGGATTCCCTAGCTATATTTAATTTAGCCATTTTGCGGTTTTGGGAGATAAAGTGATTTATTTTAAGGCTGGATTGTGTCCTGTGCATCCTACAAGGACAAAAAATACAAGGAAGTTTGGCTGCATTAAGTAAACAAACAGTAAAATCGGATTTTAAAGTCTCAGTTGTCTCAGAGGAGAACAGATCTGGAATGGTGGGGATCACACCACACTTCTCTAAAGGTCTCAAGTATAGGGGTAACCAGAAAGTGCACAGAAAAAAACACCTGTCCAAGCAAGAATTTTACCAGCTCTGCTATTTATAGGACCACAACCCCTTATTAACAAGATTGACTGTTCCTGGTGACCTGCAGAGCCACACAGGAGCCATCAGGAGCTTACAGCAGCTGCCTACTGCTCCTCCAGATGGGCTGCAGCCCCCTCCTGCTCCAGCTGGACTGTGACCCCTGAAAACAGAGCTTTCCCCTTCTGAATGTACTCCATCCACATCAAAAACCCGATGTTAGCCCTCCTCCACCCCCTGGCTGCTCCTCAAAGCTACAGAGCTTTGAGACGCTGCTCAGTCTAACACCGGGGCTCTGGTCCTGAGCACAGGGTGCAGCTGGGTTTCCTCCATGGAACCTGGTGTAACTCACACTCCACAGTCTGAAAGTGGCACCCAGAGGCTTGCAAATCAAGTGCTTTATGGTGTGTAAGTCATGGAAGGAAAGTCTCATGTGGGCAGCTCCCGTTTCGCTCTGTCCTGGTGGAAGTTTTGTGACGGGAGTGAAGCGCTTGCTTCGTACACTGCTTTGCTCTGACTGCTCTCTGGACATTGGAGATGTGTCCCCATGGAGGCAGAGGTGCAGTCCCAGAGCAGCAGAGGGTCTCATGCCACTCTGAGGGGATTTTCCCCCAGTTCTGCTGCTCTGGGGATGACAGATTCTCTCTGACTCCTTGGATGACACAGGCTCCACCTGAGAGCAGGTACACACCGTACACACAGCTCCTCCTTACCCTGCACAGCTGCTCAGCCCCCCTTGCCATCCTCACTTCTAATGAAAACACACTGCAAACATCTTTTCTTTTGTCTTGGTTTGGAAACAAACATCTTTTTTATTTTTTTCTTCTGGTTGCTAGCACCCAGCCCCGGTACAAGGGGGGTCTGTATTTACCTTCAAGCGTTCTCTGGGTACCAAAATGGGATCTTACATCTGTATCCACAGAGGCAGAACAGGCTGACACCATCTGAATAACCTTCAGGGAGCTGTGCTAGCGTGGGATGAGCGTGGTGGGTACTGCTTAAACCACAGACACACAAATTAAGTTGTGGGTAACCTTTGGGACTCCCACCTGCCAATAAGAACGCTGAGTTCAGACTGCAACCCGTACAATGCACTTAATTAAACAATCTTCCCTCAGCTGAGATCCACTGGGCTTGAATTTTTTATTTTTTTTTTTCCCATCTATATAGAATTTCCATTTGCTTCCCACTCAGCTAACTTCAAAATGCCTCTGTACTTCAGCAAAGCTTAGTGAGCTTCTCACTGTGAGTTAGACCTGAAGACAAAACTCAGGCCAAATCTTTCCCATTTGCCACAAACACAGAGAAATTAACAGCTGAAATGAAGAAATTAATGGTGACAAGCTTCTTTTAAAATAGATGAAGCATCACTGTTTGTACTTCTTAGCAGTAGCTGATCGTTCAGTACTAGCTTATTCTTTAAAAAGCCAACTTTGTTAAAAAGTACATATTAAAAAGATTTCTCTCAAATAGGAATTGGTTTCATTTTAATGGATTTATTCCACCCTCAAGTTCTCAATCATTTCAGATTTTCTTACAAGATGTATGAAAACCAGACAGAGGCCTCTAAGCAAACTCAGTAGGAAAACTGGGCAATTATTTACTGAGTTTGCACTGAATTTGCTGTATACAAAAATAAAGAAGAAATATAGGGAGAGATGTTAATTTCTGTCTCCTTGCAGGTCACCAAAATTGGAACTTGAGTGTTTCTCTTGAAAACCTTGAAACCTGAGGCAAGTGAAATCTTCCACCTAGAAATTGTTATTAAAATTACTATCAGTATTACTGCACATCCTGTAAATTATAATCAGTACAATTCAACTGTATTTCTAAGCCTGGAAAGTCAAACAGCAAACAATACCTCTTGTGAGAATCAAACCTACATACATCACTTCTACCTTCTTTCATAAATATGATATATTTTCTCAGTTTCCAGAATTCCCCACATGGAGTAGCTGAAAATACCAGTTTGTGAATCATCCTTCTGGTTTCTAATCCTTTTAATACCAAACATTTCATCCCACTGGATGTGTTCATTAAGTCAAGTACTACTGAGCATAAATAAAACAGCAGAATCTAATTTATGAATGATAAAACAGTCATTACAGCCACGGCAAACACTTCTCAGAGTTGAATTCTACAGCTCAGTGGACAAAAATATTGAGGGAAAGAAACACAAAAAAACCAGAATGTGAATAGAACACTCTTGATGTTCACTTTGGATGAAAGGTTCAGGTGTCCTAGGCTCTAGTTCAAGTAAGTGATGCTCATTTTGAACTGTGGGGGTGTGGGAAGGCAAGCTGAAATCCAGGTACAGGAGCCTTGGGATATAAAACATGCTCTGCTGTCCTCACGCCAACATCCACAAACATTTATGTTTAAACACTCTCTGCATTCTGCTGTGCATATAAAAAGCTCCCTTGGAGGCAGGCAAACACTAAAGAAGACTCCAAAGGGGAAGTTCTCTCACCTGGAAAGATCCTGCATGGTCTTCCTCTTTGTCACCTTCCTTTCCTTCCTTGAGGGCGATCAAGGTGAACCCTCGGAAGTAGGCAGGAGTGGCAGCAGAAAGCGTCACTGGGGTGTGATGAGCAGAGAAAGAACCAAGAGAGACCATTAATTGTGAAGTCAGCCACTTGCACATCATTTCACGAGGTGTGTGCTCCAAGCTGGCATTGACTAAAGCACCGAGAGCAGGGAGCCAAGCCAGCCACAATCCAAAATGTTCACTCCAGGTTTTCACAAAAACTGAGAACCACTGGCATGAAATAACTCAGCTTTTTTATTTCCCCCCACTTTTTCTTTTAAAGCAGATTGATAATCTGCTCAGATCTACAGGAGGGTTTATTGGTGGTGGTTTGGGGGTGGGGACACATGTGCAAGGGTGTTTTCTACTTGGGGCTTTTTCTCTGTGAGGGCTTTTTTTGGTTTGTTTTGAGGGGTGAGGGGGTGTTAAATGTACAGGAGCATCCCTAAATATTTGACTTCATTGTTTTGTCCAGTTCTGAGCACAAACAAAGTAATTTAGTGCACAGCAAGTCCCTCTGTAAAGCCAGATGTCCACGTTGCCTGTTCCAGCTCAGCTACACTCAGCACAGCACTCCAGCTTCTAGAAATGGGGGATCTCAAAATATCTGCTCCATCCTCAGGGCAGAACAGGACACAAAACTAAACTCCTGGCTGATAAAACTAAACTCCTGATCTGATGTCCAAAACTCAAAAACCTGAGTTCACAGGATTGGGATATCCTGGGAATGCTCCCTGCAGGGATTGAGCCCACATTTTTAGCACCAGGCTCTAACCAGTTAATTAATTATTAGTTATAGTTATAGTTAATTATTAACCCAGATAATCTCAGGGTCCTCATCTTAGAACATTTTCAGAGCCACAGAATGAGGCAGAACTTTGAGGCAGGACATTTGAAATTACCAAACTCTCTTCAGCCACTAATATCAATCCTTTCCTGAAACAGAGGTAAATTTTAGGAAAGAAAAAAAAAGTATTCTAGAATTAAAGAGACAGAAAATTGAACTCTTAATGTTTTAAGTGAACTCTTATGTTTTCCTTTAAGCATAGTGCAAAAAGAGTCACTCGTAGTACTTTTTATTGTCACACTCTCCAGCCCTGGCAGGCACAATAAAAACTGGAGACCACCCACAGTTTTCAGAGCAAACTGCAGCTCCCAAGGCTGCTCCATAGAGGAGTATCCACAAGAGATCCTTCTCACACAGATAGGCTGAGAGGGGTTGAATCACATTGCTAAAAATCACAGATTGCCCTTAGAAAATATGGATTTCCAAATATGCCCCAGAGTTCATTTGGAACATACAGAGAGCTCTTTGATCTAGAAATTCAGTAGCAGAAAAATGTAAAATAGGCTATTTGAAGGTTTCTAGCATTATGCAGCTGCATTTGGGGTTAAAACTCACGGTGTTTATACAAATACCTAATTTTTCTGACTATATGTGGAAAAAAAAAGAAAAATATATTTATTTCCATTTTCAAACTTTTGTGTAAGTGCCATGCTTTGACATATAAACCTGCAAACACCTGTACAAATTGTGATGGCACAGCAGCAAGTCCTCCAGCTCTCAAGATTTTCAACACTCTTCTCATCCCACGGAACCTTACGATGAGGCTAAGTGTCGTGATTTTGGGGGAGAAAGAAAACTTCACGCATTATATTCCAAAATAAGCCAGAAGAATAACGCCATTAAAATTTCTGCTTGCTTTAAAAAGCATTGCTCCAATTCATTAATTCATTTTCTGCCCAGCAATTAGCATGGTTAATTCCAATGTTGAGAACTTCTGCAGCTCTGGCTGAATGGAAAGCCACGGGCAGCCTCTCTGGGAACAGCACGCTGCTGAACCCAACAGAGATGAACACATTACTCCTGCTTCAACAGTGATTCTTAGAAATTTACTGCCATAAAAGTCTCTTACATGCAACAATTTTTTCCATATCATATGCAATTAAAGACTCTGAATCACTGTGAGTAAGAGGTTACACAAGGAATATTTGAGTATGCGTGCAGAGAATCCAGCTGTGAACTGACTCAACAGATTTTGTTTCCCCCACAAAGTTACAGATCAAACCAAACAGCTTTAGAAATTCCAAACACCTACCCACAAAACAGAGAAGTTCTGAAATGCTGCAGAAACATCAGAAAAAATAAAAAAAAATTAAAATAAAATTTAAAAAAATATTAAAAAAAAAAGGCAAATGGAAAGCAATTCCAAAGGCTGACTCATAGTTTTTGAATGCCTGGGGTTAGCAATACCCCAGCTGTGGTTGCAGTCATTTGAACCCCGAATAAATGCATGTTCTCTCCAGGAGGAGGGATGCTGCTGTGCTCTGGGCTCGGGAACACTTCCAGCCCAAAATCCAAAGGAGCCAAGGGCAGATGGAGGGTTCGGCCGTGTCCGTCCCTGTGTGACGGCTGCGGGGACACACGGACACAGCAGCACGGCAGGACCCGGGCTCTGGGCTCTGGGATTTGCACTTTTAGGGATGCAGGCTTTGGAACAGCCCAGAACAGCGAGCTGGGAAGGTTTCTGTCAGTGCCCAGAGCTATCCTCAGGTGACACAGGGTTTATCCCAAATCCCAGCTCCTCCTGAGCTGCTCCTGGAGCCTCCGCACGGGCAGCAGTGCCAAGCTCCCAAACCACATCTGTTCTTCACCAGGGAGAGGCTCTGGGTTGCATAAGAGTTCTTGGGCTTAACTCTGCCATTTGGAGCAGCAGCTGTGTCCTGCTCATTAACTTTCACTGAATAATATGAACTTCCTGCGGGGATCAGCTAAACCTCAGTGCAAGCCTCAGCCCTAAGGATCTCACTTTAAAGGGAAGATTGCACACCAGCAGTTACTTTAAATCTCTAATTGCTTTACAAATTGGGCTTTGGCACACGACCTCACTCTTTCCCGGTGTCCCAAGCCCAAGGTGGGATGATCAAAGTCGCTCCTTTGGTTTCAGGCAGGAAATCAGACTTTTCTCACCCTACACGACTGCACATCCCCTGCTGCACCTTGCACAGGTAGCAGCAAATGCAAGTTCCAAATTCCATCTGTATTTTGTGGAACAGCTGATGTAGTTACAGAATGAGAGCTTTTTTGGGTTTTGTTGGTTTTTATTTTGCAAAGTTGTTTGCACGTTGAGGGGAGATGAAAGAAATGGAGAGAAAAAGACTCAACATTCCTTCAAAGAGAAGTCCCCAAACCAATGCAGTGGAGCACAACTCCTTAAATGAGCTTTTCCTCAAAAACTGAGAAAGTGAACTGACCTACAAGTGGAAATTCCATTAAAACCAGGAACAGCACCCACACAGAGGGTATATGTAAGGGTTACAACTAGCCTAGTGCTCCTTTTCTTCTTCAGAATAATAATTCATGATCTCACAGCAGAAAGCATTTCTACTGCATGTTAGTGTGTCCTGCTCCCTTTTGGTAGAAGCAAGTTTATTTACATTTTAATAGCGTGAAACTCACCTCATTTCTTCATGGAAATCTCATGCAATCATTAATCTAACTGCACAATCAATAAAGCCAGGACTGAGTCTTTTCAAGGATCATTACCCTGTATCACCACCCAAACTTGAGGCTCATTTGTGCCTCTGAATGAGAGCTCTGACCTTCAGTGGAGGCGAGAGCAGCTCCATCACCAGCGAAGGAACCCAGCAGGGGAGGAGAGGACCTCGACCCTAGCGTGGTGTGCCCTCAAACCTGGTCCTACAGGAACACATTTGAATTGTTCCCACTCAGACAAGTTATTCAGTGCCCAGTGCTGATTTCTATCACAGCTCCAGAGGTGGAAAACCGAGGCTTCGCAGCTCCTTGCGCACAGATTTTTTGCCCTCAGGACAAATAGATTGTGATGGATCTAAAGGTGAATAACTGCAGGGCAGCCATAAAAACTCCCCCAGAGGCAAACAGCAGCTGGGAGCTGTGGTCTCCTGACTCCCACGCTGCAAACTGAGATATTCCCAGATATTCCCTCCACTCATTGCTGCTTGAGAGGCTGGTGTGTCACATCAGCTGATGGCATGAAGATAAAAGGATGTCCCTACACTTTTCTGGAGTACATTTGCATGTACAGATAATTCCTGTGCTATCCACCTTGAAAATGCAACTTTATTCCAAGAGGCCACTAGGGAATGTGCCAAGGATCCAGATTGCATCAGTTCCAGCAGGGGCCATGGGAACAGGAATATCTGGCTCCAGAGCTAAGGAGGTCCTGCAAGTCTTCTGCTATGTTGCACACAGGGTAATTTGCTGATAAATAAATACAAACAACAAACAAAACCCCACACACCTGTCATACCATCTCATTTTTTTATTTTTTTTTTTAAATCATTAGTTGGATTTTCCATCCTTTGCATGAAACAGTAATAAAGTTGCAGCTGGACTGCAGAAATGCCTTTGAGAACAAGCTCCCAAAATTTTCTGTACATTGTCAGTTTTGACTACTGCTATGTTAAAAGCAACATTTATTTGTGTCCTTCCCACCCTTCAGGAATGTGTCCTTAAAGAATGATCTACACACCCCAATGTGCCACCTGAATGCTTCAGTCCTAAGTATCAGAAAGAAAAGCACATATTCTGTTCTACATTTTAATTTTTTTACTATTAGCTGTAATTTTCTCACTTCCAAGCAGCTTATAATAGCCTAATGTGATTTTATTAAATGAGTTCCTAACGCCAAGACCTAATATCTCCACAAAATTAGTTCTGCTAATTCATCTGGGAGTTTCTTTCTTCCCACATTTCTGTGCAATAGAAACTTCCTTGGGAGGTGACTGAAAATGTCCAGTAACGTTTTCACAGAAGTGAATCCCGAAATTTTTTAAAGAACATTTGCTTTTGTCGCTATCAAAAAACTTGGCACATCTTTGTCCTGCTCAGTAGATGCACCAAGCTGACATGCCACATGAATTCTTTCAGACTCAGGATACTAATCCTCCTGTCTGGAACTTGTGGGTCCCCACTTTTTTCTCCCTGTACACACTGAGATTCCCATGTTCATGCAATGGGAAAACACTGCTCTTTACCCTGGATCTAAGAAACACTTGGAAGAATCTCCCAATATTTTTTTTTTTTTCCTAAAAGTACATCAGTTAAAAATGTCCAGACTCTTTTTAAAGTGCTTTTAAAATGCAAGGCAAACAGCACATTCCAAGAAGGTTTATTTCTCAAGGCACTATATAGTGAGGCAGGAAAAGTGACCAAAACCTGTCTTTGCCTATTAATTAGTAAAACACACCCGAATGTGCTTTGGAAGTTCATTCCAAGGATTGTATGTGACATGCTCAGGGAAGAAGGAATCTCTTATTTACAGTGGTCGTTAGCACTGTCTCTGCCTCTTTCCTGCTTGAGCCATCTGTTCATTTACCCAGAAAAAAAAATAAATTAAAAATTTAAAAAAGGGTGGGATAGTGGGATAAACGTAAGTGGAAGATGTGGGAAGTTGGCAGCGTGCTGCATCATGTTTGCCCATATGCTAACTCATTATATTAACATTTATATTTCAGGGCAAGAGCGATTAGCTCCGAGTTTCCTCTCCCTCCTGCTGGATGTGGAAGCTTCTCCCATGGGTTCAATTTAAAGGGATGGGAAGGAATCCCACGGAAGAGGGCAAACGGGGGAAGAGTGAGCTCTGCATGGCTGTAACTTGTGTAACTGAGCGCGTACAGAGGGCTCCTAAATAAAGGAAATTCCTCTCCATGAGGAGCGCTCGGGAGGAAAGTGAGACACCGAGCCCCGGCTCCCCTCTCTCGCCATGGAAGCATCCCCAACAAAGTGATGCCAGGGGGTGCATTAGGCTGTCCTAACCCCCCCCAGACGGCAGGAGGGATGCGGAGCTGACAGGCAGACACACGCTACAGCTCCCGAGGCACTCATCCCCCCGGGATCGCGCTGCGGGATGCAGAGGATGCCCGACTTACCCCGGTAACTGTTCCCAGGCTTGTAAAATTCTGGGTCGCCCTCCACCCTGAGGCTGAATTCATTGTACCCTTCCCTCCTGGTGCCTTGGGCTCGCAGGATCCGGCTGCAATATCCCTCGGATTTGGAGGCTTTCTCCAAGGTTTCGTCGGGAAAAGCCTTGGCCACCAAGGGGAAAGTGAGCGCCAGGAGCCGCAGGGCCAGCGGCTGCAGATGCGCTCCCATCCTCGCAGCTCCGCACAACTTTTGGCGGCCGGGGCGGCGGTGGAAGGCTCCGGG